GCTGGATTACAGGCGTGAGCCACTGTGCCCGGCCCCCATTATGATTTTTTTTTTTTCTAAGATGGAGTCTCGATCTGTTGCCCAGGCTGGAGTGCAGTGCAGAATCTCGGCTCACTGCAACCTCTGCTTCTGGATTCAAGGTGATTCTCCAGCCTCAGCCTCCTGAGTAGCTGGGACTACAGGTGTGTGCCATCGGCACCCAGCTAATTTTTGTATTTTTAGTAAAGACTTGGTTTCACCATGTTAGCGCAGGTGCTCAAAAAAAAAAAAAAAATCACAGTGGAGCCTGGGCACGGTGACGGCTTCCTGTAGTTCCAGCTACCCCAGAGGCTGAGGCGGGAGGATGGCTTTAGCCCAGGAGACAGAGGTTGCAGTGAGCCATGATCACACCACTGCACTCCAGCCTGGGTGACACAGCAAGACCCCATCTTATAAAACTTAAAATTAAAATACTACAAGGGTTTCTGGGGTCAAAGAAAAAAAAAAACCCAATGATCATCTGAAATTCTACATTCAGACTTTTTTGTATGCATCTAAGTTCTCACTCTTCTTTAAAGAAGCTGAAACTCAAAATCTTAGATGATAGAAATATGGTTTTTGCAAGAAAGGTGACATAAAATCTGAAACAGTGAGTCCCACATTCAAAGAAAAGATTACTCCTCCATTAAAAAAAAAAAAAAAAAAGGCCAAGGATTGCACATATTTGAGTTTCTAGTTAAAAATAAGGCAATTCCTTACTGGTGCAATGGCTCACGCCTGTAATCCCAGCACTTTGGGAAGCTGAGACAGGCAGATCACCTGAGGTCAGGAGTTCGAGACCAGCCTGGCCAACATGGTGAAACCCCATCTCTACTAAAAATACAAAAAAAGTTAGCCAGGCATGGTGGCAGGTGCCTGTAATCCCAGCTACTTGGGAGGCTGAGGCAGGAGAATTGCTTGAACTCAAGAGGCAGGGGTTGCAGTGAGCCAACATCGCACCACTGGCCTCCAGCCTGGACAACAAAGTGAAACTCCATCTCAAAAAACCAAACAAACAAACAAACAAAGATTCCAGTGTGCATGGAGATTTCCTTCATTGCTCAGAGGTTTAACAGACTGGTTTCATTAATTAGACAACTACCAGTCATGATTCTATCACTTAAGAGGCCTCCATCTACCCCTGTAATTAAATATTCCATCCCGTGGAGTGGCTGGAGTATCTATTTTCAGGCTTGCCTGCCTCGGGCCCGTGGAGGCGCCCTGAGCGCCCTCCTGCCCCCGCAGAGACTGACTGAAAGGCTCTCATCCTCCCCTCTGCGTCTCTCAGCTCCCCAAGCAGGGCCATTATATGGCTGATGAATAGAAAAGTGAGTGAGTGGTGAGGGATTCGCTTGGCTTTTTGTTTTGGTGATAACGGAAACTCACAATGTGGGAAGGAATGCTTACCCCTCGGAAAAAGAAGTAGACTCCTCCTAACACCGACAGGATCTCTCCAGTCACTCGGAAATAGTCTTCGGTTTTTTCCATCTTAAAGGGAGGCTGTGAGAGGCAGAGAAGTTGGTAACTCTGTTTACTCATTCATTCATTCGACAAACATTGACCAGGTACCAAGCCCTGCGATGAAGACATAGTCCCTGCCCAGGAGGCACAGCCTCCATCAGGCGAAGGACACACAAAGACAGTGTGTTATTAGGGGAGCGCCCGCAAGGAGGCCCCTCTGTAGGCCTGATTCCCCAAAGTGGCAGCCTGCAGGCGCCAAGCGGAGCATCTTAAATGCTGTGCTGCCTCCCAGGCAATGTCCTGGCAGGCCCAGAGCTCCTCCTGGCTGGGAGCAGGGTGATGGACAGCAGGGTGATGGACAGCTAGAGGCAGTCTCATGGACCCCAAGCCATACACATCCCACTGTCACCCCACACCATGGCCAGTCTCCCACGAGCGTCAGGGACTCCTACTGACCATGGAGGGAGAGACTGTGCCACACACACTTATGGGTGTCACCCTTGTGTTTCAGTTGCCATTTCCTGGAGTGGTTCACCATCCATATTTCCCAAGCACTCGTTCATTAGCTTGCCTTAGTGGCACATTTTTCTCTTAAAAGGAAGTCACTGGCCGGGTGCGGTGGCTCACTCCTATAATCCCAGCACTTTGGGAGGCTGAGGCAGGTGAATCACCTGAGGTCGGGAGTTCGAGACCAGCCTGACCAACATGGAGAAACCCCATCTCTACTAAAAATATAAAATTAGCCAGGCGTGGTGGTGCATGGCTCTAATCCCAGCTACTTGGGAGACTGAGACAGGAGAATCACTTGAACCCCGGAGCCAGAGGTTGCGGTGAGCTGAGATGGTGCCACTGCACTCCAGCCTGGGCAACAGAGCGAGACTCCGTCTCAAAAAAAAAAGGAAGTCGTTATGTGGCCTTAATAGGTGAACACAAATAGGGTTTCATGCAATGATGAAGTTGAGTTTTTAAAGAAAATGTACAGCCAGCCAGGCATGGTGGCTCATACCTGTAATCCCAGCACTTTGGGAGGCCAAGGCAGGCAGATCACTTGAGGTCAGGAGTTCAAGACTAGCCTGGCCAATATGGTGAAACCCCATCTCTACTAAAAATATAAACAATAGCTGGCCATGTTGGTGGGCACCTGTGGTCCCAGCTACTCAGGAGGCTGAGGCAGAAGAGTCACTTGAACCCGGGAGGTGGAGGTTGCAGTGAGCTGAGATTACGCCACTGCATTCCAGCCTAGGTGATAGAGTGAGACTCTGTCTCAAAAAAAAAAAAATTAAATAAGTAAGTAGATTTGTAAGGTGCCCTGGAAACAAAGGCAGCAGATTCAGTGCCCTGGGTATCGGACGTGAACGACTAAGTCCGGAAGTTCGATGAAGTCTTGGCTCTTGGCAGAGGAAAAAGTCTGGTCTTAGGCTGAGTTGACCGATGGCCCAGGGCCTGGCACAGAGGTGCTCAAAAGTCTAAATCCAGGAATTAATAATGAGCAAGTGAGTGAATAAAACAGGGCAGGCAAGCAGGATGACGGTGGGCTCTGGGCTTACACTAGCCCACAACCCTAGGGACCCCCAGGCCAGGGGTGAGCCCTGTCCTGAGCCCAAATTCCTGCATGATTTTTTTTTTTTTTTTTTTTTGAGACAGAGTTTCACTCTTGTTGACCAGGCTGGAGTGCAGTGGTACCATCTCAGCTCACCACAACCTCCGCCTCCCGGGTTCAAGCAATTCTCCTGCCTCAGCCTGCTGAGTAGCTGGGATTACAGGCATGCTCCACCACGTCCAGCTAATTTTGTATTTTCAGTAGAGACGGGGTTTCACCATGTTGGTCAGGCTGGTCTTGAACTCCCGACCTCAGGTGATCCACCCACCTCAGCCTCCCAAAGTGCTGGGATTACAGGCGTGAGCCACTGCATCCGGCCCCTTCATGTTTTCTAACCAAGTACACCCAGTCTGTGATCAGGGACCTGAGTCACCACACACTCAGTCCCACAGGACCTCAAGGCTAAAGGAGAGGGACTAGGAAGCAGGAAGCGGGTGGGTCTCCTGTACAGCCTGAGGCAGGGAAGATGGGCACAAGGATACAAAGTTCTCCAGGTTCTCCATCCATCGCTCCAGCAAGCCAGGAAGGAGTCCAGGGCAGAGCTTGGGCCTGGGGTAGGGGAGGTCTCCCCGGAATGTCCACATCCCTTCCCCACCAGCCGCACCCCAACCCACGAGGCCTGAGCCTCTGGCCGCACCAAGCCATCCACGGGCCTGTAGTAGGCAGCCATGGTGAAGATGATCATGTACAAGCAGTAGACCAAGAAGTTGAAGTAGAAGGTGCGCTTGACGAATCTGTCCCACTTGTCCTGCAGGAGTCGGTTCAGCGGCTCCACCAAGAGCATGTCGTGGCGATTCTAGGGGGAGCGGAGAGAAGTGAGGTTCCCTCCTGCTGTAGGACCTCCTCGCACGCCCACGCCAGCCCCTGGCGCTCCTCACAGCCACAGCCACATGGCCGCACAATCCTCCGCCCAGGGAGCAGGTGAGACTCAAGGGAGGTCTGAGCCAGCCGGCAGGCAGAGCCTGGGGCTGGTCCCAGCACTGCTGTGGCTCACGGAGGGACCCGCCCTCTTGGCCTCTGTGTTCCCAAAGGTGCAGTGAATGGGGTGAAACCGGACAAGCTCTAAGTACTCACTTAATGGCCCACAGCACCGCCCAACAGTCTATGCCCGTTGTGTCTAATAACTCACTCCCGAGATCCCACAGGAATGGGAAGTAGTTGGCTTAGGCAGAGCCTGGGCATGAGGGGCTGAGGGCAGGCAGGAAAGAGCTTCTGGGTCCTGACTTCTCACATTTCCAGCCCTGGGTCAGGCAGGGTGGCAGGGAACTGGGAGGCCCTTCCTGCAGCAGGAGGGCCCAGGGCCTCATGCCATCTTTACAAGTATGCTTCAGGGCAAATGTCTCGTATCCAGAGATTTTGATAAAGTTCAAATAGGCCAGGAGTGGTGGCTCACGCCTGTAATCCCAACACTTTGGGAGGCCAAGGCAGGTGGATCACCTGAGGTCAGGAGTTCAAGACCAGCCTGGCCAACATGGTGAAACCCCATCTCTACAAAAATACAAAAATTAGCCGGGCGTGGTGGCAGGTGCCTGTAATCCCAGCTACTTGGGAGGCTGAGGCAGGAGAATTGCTTGAACCCCAGGAGGCAGAGGTTGCAGTGAGCTGAGATCACGCCACTGCACTCCGGCCTGGGTGACAGAGCGAGACTCTGTCTCAAAATATAAAATAAAATAAAATAATAAAATAAAATAAAATAAAAATAAGTTCAAGTATCCCTGAGATGGATGAGCCAAAATGAGATCATCCCAGCCTCCCTCAGGCCATTGAGTACAACCCCCAGCCCAAGCTTAAGCTCCCTCAAAGAGGTTCCCGATCAGTGTCTTCTTGAACACCTTTGGGGATAGGAAACTCTTACTGCCTCAAGAGGCCTATGGAGAGTCACTAACTGTAGGGAATACCTCTTCTTTGGTCTTCTCTACTTTCTGCTAGTGGTCCTGGTTCTGCCCCAGGGTCCCCAGAACAAGTCCGCACTCCTTGTCCCTGAGAGCCTTCCGAGACATGAAGATGTCAGTGGTGGTCCCGGACCCTCTCCCCCAGGTCAAATACTGCAGTCCTTTTTGAGGTCACCTCCTATCTGGACCACTCCTCTGGGAACACTTGTGTCCAGCACTCTGAGTTGGAGGCCCAGGTTCAGCACGGCAGCCCAGGTAGGGCAGAGCAGACCAGGCCTCTCCCAGCCCCAGACTCTGCTCCTATAAATGCAACTTCTGGCCTGTGAGACACCGTGCAAGCCCTTCACTGCTGATGGTAGAGACTCCAGCCCCCGAGTCTGCCTTGGGAGCTCAGAGCATCACCTTAGGAAGAAGGGACAGGTAAGGTGGCCTTTCCAAACAGCATGGCAGGATGGATTACCCAAAAAGTAACACTGAGACAGTCATTTGGAGCCAAAATATTTAAGTGAGATGCCTACTTCACACCTATACAAAAATCAATTCTTAGCCTGGGGCAGTGGTTCACACCGGTAATCCCAGCACTTTGGGAAGCCAGGGAGGTTGGATCACCTGAGATCAGGAGTTCGAGACCAGCCTGACCAACATGGAGAAACCCTGTCTCTACTAAATACAAAAAATTAGCCAGGCGTCGTGGCACATGCCTGTAATCCCAGCTACTTGGGACTCAAGGAGAATCGCTTGAACCAGAGAGACGGAGGTTGCAGTGACTCGGGATGACACCATTGCACTCCAGCCTGGGCAACAAGAGCGAAACTTCGTCTCAAAAAAAAAAAAAAGAAAAAGAAAAATCTACAAGCCCTGCCATCAAGTGAGAAAAAAAATGGTTGTTGTACATTGCATATACTCTGATCCCGTTTATGTAAACAAAATGAAACTGTACATTTTAGGCTGGGCGCAGTGGCTCGTGCCTGTAATCCCAGAACTTCGGGAGGCCGAGGCGGGCGGATCACCAGAGGTCAGGAGTTTGAGACCAGCTTGACCAACATGGAGAAACCCCATCTCTGCTAAAAATACAAAATTAGCCAGGCATGGTGGCACATGCCTATAGTCCTGGCTACTCGGGAGGCTGAGGCAGGAGAATGGCGTGAACCCGGGAGGCGGAGCTTGCAGTGAGCTGAGATCCAGCCACTGCACTCCAGCCTGGGCGACAGAGCGGGACTCCGTCTCAAAAAAAAAAAGAAAAAAGAAAAAGAAACTGTACATTTTTACACAGTATAAAAGGAGGGACTTTTGTCTATGTACCTCTGAAATGTTCCTGTTTTTACAGGATGATAATCGTGTATGGTTGCTATGCTTAGGGAAAATTCAGTGGGCATGACTGGGGACATGAGGCTGCAGCGCCTGGGCCCCGGGCAGCAGGCTTTCCCTCATGAGAAGCCAGCTGGAGCTGGACCAGGGGCTGGGATTGGGCCTGGGGTGCAGAGGCCCTGAGGCCCTCCCTGGCTGTGCCCCAGCCACTCACAGGGGTCTCGCTGCTGCTGTAGGCGATCACCTCCAGCACCGAGTTCTTCTCGCAGGTGTCGATGCAGGACAGGTCGTACAGCGAGGAGTGCACGGGCCCGTAGGCCCACTCAGTGAACTTCCTGGACAGGTGCCTGCACTCGGGCTCCTGGATCTCCCTCTGGAGAATATAGGCCAAGGATCCCGTTTATGTAAACAAAATGAAACTGTACATTTTAGGCTGGGCGCAGTGGCTCGTGCCTGTAATCCCAGCTACTTGGGAGGCTGAGGCAGGAGAATTGCTTGAACTCAAGAGGCAGGGGTTGCAGTGAGCCAACATCGCACCACTGGCCGGAGGGCTGCTGTGGCTGAGATGTTCGCGCACCTGCACTCTAGCTGGTGTGGACAGAGCCAATGCTCTGTCTCAAAAAAAAAAAAAAAAAAGAAAGAAAGAAAGCAACAGCTGTTGGTGTTTTTCCATTGGCCAGCAGGAGCTTTAGGTGCAAGGCTGCGTGGCTCCTGTAGGGTGACAGGCCTCCAGTGCCTGGCCTCAATAATCCTCCCCACCTCAGCCTCTAGAGTGCTGGGGATTAAGCAGGAGAGTCACCCCATCTGGCTCTCATTTCTTCGATTCTTTTAATTTCTGGCTTGAGGGTGTATCCGAGAATGGACGCACCACTGTCCTTTCATGGTGCGAGGGTTGAGTTGGGGCCTCGCGGTGAGGGGATGGTGGCGCCTGTGGATGGTAACCGGTAGTATCTTAAGGCAGACCGGCTGCGTTGGACCCTGTTTTTTTTTTTTTGACCCCCTTTTTTTCGCTGGACAGGTTCACGTCTTTGTTGCCCAGGGCTGGAGCTGCGGGCCACCAATCTTGGCTCACTGCAAACTGTCTGACCTCGCAGGTTCAAGTGATTCTCCTGCTCAGCCTACCAAGTAGCTGAGGTGGGTACAGGCACCACGCACCGCATACCGTGGCTAATTTTTTTTGGGCATTTTCAGTAGGAAACAGGATTTTGCCATGTTGGCAGCGCCGTCTCGAATCCCTGAGACCCTCAGTGGATCCACCCTGCCTCCAGGCTCCCCAAAGGTGCTGCGAGTACAGGCGGCGTGAGCCACTGCGCCCGGCGGCTGGGGAGTTAATCTTGATGGTGGTCAGGAGTGGGTGGGGATCGCCTGGGGCTTGGGTGAGGCCACTAGCTGGACTGGGAAGCAGAGCTGGTTGTGGGTGCTGTCTGAGGCTGAGCCTGGGGCTGGCCTCTGATGGACTCTTGATCCCCTGGTGGCAGAGTCTTGGCCATATATTCCTCCAGAGGAGATCTCAGGGAGCTGACGTGCAGCACCTGTCAGGAAGTTCACTGAGTGGGCCCTAAGCGGGGCCGTGCACTCCTCGCTGTAACGACCGTGTCTCTGCATCGACACCTGCCAGAGAAGGAACCTCGGCGGGAGTGGCTGGGAGGTGATCGCCTAGCAGCAGCAGCGAGACCCTGTGAGGGGCTGGGGGCCAGCCAGGAGGGCTCAGGGCCTCGTGCACCCCAGGCCAATCCCAGCCGCTGTCCACTCCAGTCTTGGCTGTCTCATGAGGGGAAAGCCCTTGGCTGCCGGGCCAGGCGCTGCATCCTCATGTCCCAGTCATGCCATTGAATTGTTCCTAGAGCAACTAGCAAC